GCCCTGCCCTACTCTGACTGAGGTTTAAGGGTCACAAGGCTTTTCTCACGGTGACTCCAAGGTTCAATGACCTCCTGCTCAACTTCATTCCTACAGGGACACAAATGAGTCAACTGACTGCAAATCTGAGCCACTATCAGTGGCTCATGCCTATAATCCTAGCTAGTCAGGAGGCTGAGATCTGAGGATCACTGTTCCAAGCCAATCAGGACAGGAAAGTCTGTGAGACTCTTATGTCCAATTAACCACCAAAAAGCCAGAGGTAGAGCTGTGGCACAGGTGCTAGAGGGCTAGTCTTAAGCAAAAAGCTCAGGGACAGTGTTCAGGCCCTGAGTTCAAGGAAATCTGTTCCCATTGGGAGATAGCATTTTGCTCTTGTGTGTCTGTCTGTGGCTGGTGGACAGTCTCTAGTGTGACCTCTGTATATAAGAAGCCCACATAATCTCAGGCTTTTCAGTTCACATCATAAAGGCAAGTTTGTTCATGGAAGTCACTTCTGAGAAGGGGACCACCTGCTATCATCCTTCTTTTTTTGGGGGGGTGTCCGGTTGTGGGGCCTGAACTCTGGGCCTGGGTGCTGTCTCTCAGCTCTTCAGCTCAAGGCTAGCGTTCTACCACTTGAGCCACAGCGCTGGCTTTTTTCTTTTTGCTTATGTGGTGCTGAGGAATTGAACCCAGGGCCTCAGGCATGCAAGGCAAGCTCTCTACCACTGAGCCACCTCCCCAGCCCCTATCATCCTTCTTGTTAAGAGGAAGTAGGTGGACCAGGGTAAGAGACCTGGGCCCATGTCTACTTCCTTCATTCCAGTGGTGGCCTTGGTGACAATAATGCCAGCCTTTTAGATTGCAATGAGTTATGTCAAGACTGAGGGACAAGAAGCTTGGTCCAGACAAAGAAATGTTGTGGACTTCATTTCAAGAACTGGAGGCCAAGGACTCCCACCAACTCATCTAAGGCCTGCACCAGTGCCCCTCCCTGCTTAGGGGGTGGACATGTCCTGGAATAGGACTAGCTAGTGTTGAGGCAGGATAGATTAGAAAAATGAGGCATGGTAAATGAGAGCCAGGAATTCAGAAACAATGTGTTTAGAAATATAGAAACACTATCTTCTTTGCTTTAATCCTTACACTCCTTAATAAACTTCAGTATTAATGAGGGGGAAAAAAAGAGGAGCTTTCTCCATCTGACCTTGCTTGGCAACTGGGAATGTGGCTTAGTGGTAGAGTTCTTGTTTAGCATACATGAAGCTGATTCCTCAGTACCACATAAACAGAAAAAGCTGGGAGTGGTGCTGTGGTTCAAGTAGTAGAGTGCTAGCCTTGAGCAAAAAAAGCTCAGGGACAGTGCCCAGGCCCTGAGTTCAAGCCTCAGGACTGGCAAAAAACAAAAACAAAAACCACCCAAACATGTATCCTGGAAAAGCAAATACTTGGAAATAATGACTCCTCCTGGCAAAAAGTACTTCGCTCAAGGATAACTACCTGTTTTATGGCGGGATGCATCCTTTCCTGAAAGTGATACCCAACCATAATGGTCTAAATTTTAAAAGCAGGTTAGTCTTAGAGACCCAAAGAGCAAAGATAAACACTTAACCTTAGAATAACTTTAAGTCAGAGTCTGCCTTTATCATATAGAGAGAGCCCTGCTGACAGAGAGCAGTGTCTCCCTTTGAGCACCCACGCTCTATCTGTCAGAGTGGGCCTCTGCCTTTCTGCTTGACTGCCTGCCTACTTGCTTGCTTGCTTACTCAATAAGTTTTCTTACCATTGTGACTAGTCTGGAAATTCTTATTCTATGATCAAAGTCAAGGACACTAACTGGGAGTCCCTGCCTCTAGAATGAAACTTCAAAAACCCTCACCTGGAATCAGTGAGTGTCACCAGTGAACAGAAACGAGCGCTGGGATGGATAAGATGAAGGGGATGGGTAAGATGAACTCCTCCCATCCATGTGGACCTTTGATGCCAAGGGGACTTGAGATAATCAAGGGTCCATGGCACCATGGATAGGGATCAAGTGATGACTGAGGCTAGCAGCCTGGAGTGCAATGAGAATGAAAAACAGCCACCTTCCCCAGTTTGGTTTAAAGAGCACAAGTGAGGACTGATATGGGTTCTTGGGGTCTGCTTGGCTTGGGAGGATGGTTTTTGAGGGTGACTAATAGCTTAAAGTTCCTGCTAGGAGGTTGACTGAATGCTCACTGTGGAGTAAGTGCAAGCTCACATGCTTTACATAGAATAATCTCTGAATGATCCGGGCAAATCAATATTATCAGTCATATTGTGGACTGAGAGCACACACCTGGAGAATGCACAGATGCAAGTCCAACACAATTCTGTGAGTTGTGCATCAGTTCAATCTCTATACCACCTTGGGATACTGCCCAGGCCCTGAGTCCAAGCCCCAGAAATCACACCAACACACACACACACACACAGAGAGAAAGAGAGAGAGAGAGAGAGAGAGAGAGAGAGAGAGAGAGAGAGAGAGAGAGAGAAAAGATCACATGGTTTGGTTTCAGTACCTAACTTCATTTGCTGTAAGAATCAATTGATTTTTCCAACCCACATTAATTTCTCTTTCTGCTGCTAACAACTCCTCAATTCCCCTTTGGGGAAACCACACCTTTTCTTTCTTTCTTGTTTTCATTTTGAATTCGGTATAATACACATGACATAAATTTATCATCTCAACCATTTTTAAGTGTGAAGTTCAGGGGTTGGAGGCATGGCTCAGATGATAGAGTGCCAGCCAATGAGTGAAAGCATCAGATACCAAGTTCAAGTCCCAGTCTTGGACCAAAAAAGAGAAAAAAGAATGTGAAGTTCAGGGGTGCTGAGTACACACATTAAAGAAGCTGATTCCAGAAGAATCAAAGGACACTTGCTAGAACTAATTCAAAGCAGTTACTCTCTTCCTGCCTCAGATGCCAAACACCCATGGGTAGACCACTTTATACCAAGTCCAGGACTTGGTGCAGGACTGACATCTATACAGAAGAGCTGAAGAAATGAGGCAGGGATCCTGGCACATGTTTTCCAAATCTGGATCCAGAAAGCCTCAAACCTTTCAATGCCATTCAGTTACTTGAAATCCCATTGGAGTTGTGTTTTCTGTGCTAGTAACTATAACTAGCTAAGGCTGAGGATGTAGATTTGTGGCAGAGCACTGATCTAGCATGCACAAGGCCCTGACTTTCAGTTCCAGCACTGTAAAATTAAGTGATTAATTAGCTAATTAACTAATTAATTGATCAACTAACTAAACAATTCTCATCCTGAACTCAGGTTGATAGTTGCGTGTGAAGTTTTATAAGATCTAAGAATGAGATTTCAAAATCATTACCTATCCCAGAGACCCCCCCCTGCCCCCTCCCCTGACAAAAGACCCATAAATCTGTCCAGTGGTTAAGCTGAGAAAAATGGCTTGTGGGCAAGGTGTATTTTTTAATCTACCAAGGGCAAAAAAAAAAAAAAAGAGAAGACTTTGTCATGTTCAGTGACACATGGATGAACAGGCGAGAAGAAGAAAATTGAAGTTATGTTATAGACAAGCAGTCCTGAGAAAGCCCACCCTCCCCTGCGTGGATGGCTGGTGGATCTGACCACTGTGAAAGCTGCTCAGATGTCCATGCTGTGGTGGGGCATACCTGGCAGCCAGAGTCAGCTTGTGATCCACACCAGCAGCACATTCTCCCGGAGCAAGAATCATTTCCCTCATGGACCTCAGAACACAGGCACAGAGAGCCTGTCCCTGGGACAGGGGCATTCGGAGACATATTTGGGGCATCCTGCCTTTGGATGACAGCCTGAGAACTACAGGGGAAGACGTTTAGAAGGTGTACATGAAGTTCTGGGAGGGCACCCATGTGCTGGAAGTACTTTCTCTCTGAAGCCATTTTTGGTTATGGTTTTAAACCTAAAGACTGGAGGTTTGTTGTTGCTGCTGCTGCTACTGTTTTTGGGATCCATAATTTTATAAGCCCACTAGGAACACTAGCAGACTTGTTAAGGAACCTACTCCGGTGAGAGATCATCTCCCATGGCCAGCAGCTCTGTGCCTCACTTCTGGTAAGTAAATTGGGGCACAGGAAATAGAGGAGGGCCAGCTCCGTAAACTGTAAATGTTCCCATGTCCTGCTCTTCTTGCTCCCTCCCAGTGGAGTCCCTTCACTGGCACCCACCTTGGGGTCTTGCCCCAGCCTCCTGCAGTCCCAGCCGCACAGCACGTGGTCACTTCTCTCAGGAGGCAACTGGAGCCCACAAGGGGCCCTGAGAGCAGCACTCCTTCCTGCCAGGCTCTGGGGTTTGCTCATACCCTGAGCCCTAAAACCCAGCTCCCATGGCAACACCTGAGGGCTACACAAGAGCCCAGGACCAGAACTCAAAAGGGCCTGACTCTGGCCTCCCTCTAACACTTTCTCACTGGGGCTCTGGGGCTCTGTAACCCTAGTCTTCCCAAGACAGGGCTTGCCAGTGTTCTCTGCTGCACCTCCATGGCCTTGAACACACATACTAGACACTTGAACACCATGTGGAATTATGTATTGTTAAAATCAGTCTGTATGAAATGGGGGATTTGTAACCGATGTTGTGAGGCAGGATAGGAGATCCGAACACTGAGCACCTAGAGTATCCACCAAGTACCCTAGTCCAGCTCCGGGAGAGCTCATCGTGTTCCCTCTTTGCAGATGGGAAAACTGAGGCAGAGGCAGGACTCAAACCCACGACTGATAAGGAAGCCCAGATGGCTCTCCACTACACCACACACCACCTCTTCCAGCTCTAAGTACTCCCGAGGGAGGGCTTTCCACCTACACACAGCCTGGTGCCCCAAACCCAGCCTAGAGGCCTGGAGCTTTGCAGCCAGAATCCTGCCCCCACCCACACGCCCAGGCCCCACTAGGGCTGATCTCCTGATCTCCAACCACTCACTGTGGCTTAGAAACCCCAGCGGGGGGTGTGCGGGTGGGGGGAGGCGGGGAGGAGGCAATACTCACGGCTCCTGCAGGCCCAGGTGACTGCCGCGGGCGCATGGTCTCCAGGACCCCGGCCTCCTCGACAGCAGCCAGCGCAAGCTGCCTCCTCGCTCTGGGGCATCAGATTATTTTAGCACTTTGCGGAAGGAAAGGACGGAAACTGAAGTCACATGGAGAGCGACATGCTCAGCGACTCAGCTCAGGGGCTGGCAGACGCACACAGCAGGCGTCTTAGAGGGAAGTGCAACCTGGGGCGGCATGAGGATGGGAAGGGATAGGCTGGGGAGGGGTGGCCTTGGAGGGAATGCGGGGTTGGTGACCTAGGCTGGCGGTGTTGGTGGTAATGATCTTCCAGCCATGCTAAGCAGGCCCCCCAGGCTTTCTCTCTTTAGTGGTTGTTTTTTTTTTTTTTTTGTCGGTTGTGGGGCCTGATCTGGGTCTGGGCGCTGTCCCTCAGCTCTTCAGCTCAAGGCTAGCACTCTACCACTAGAGCCATAGCTCCACTTCCGGATTTTTCTGCTTATGTGGTGCTGAGGAATCGAACCCAGGGCCTCATGCATGCAAGGCAAGCGCTCTACGACTGAGCCACCTTCCCAGCCCTTGTTTTGCTTTATTATTGTAGTTTTTTTTCTTTTTTTGGGGGGTGGGGGTGGGAGAGGTCAGAGTGGGGGGATAGGTATGGAGTCCTGGCCCAGCAAGTCTGGAGCACCAAGCTGAAACAGACTCTTTAAGAAAGGGCAGCACACAGGGTTTCCAAGGAGGAGTCCACAGGCTGGAAGGATCATCCATTCACTAGTATTTCTGTCCACACATCTTAGTTCTTATCAGTTATCTTATGGGCTCAGCACTGGCTTAAAAACAAGGCAAATGGAGATATAAGGAGTGAACAAATGCAGCAGTGGTACTCACTGGATACTACCTAGAAAATGAACTATACAACTTGTGGGTGAGGATGGGAGGGAAGAACTGGGAGAGAGTGAGGGAAGGGACAACATTGTCCTAAAAGAAATGTACTTCAGCTGGGAAGGTGGCTCAGCGGTAGAGCACTTGCCTCGCATGCATGAGGCCCTGGGTTCGATTCCTCAGCACCACATAAGCAGAAGAAAGCCAGAAGTGGGGTTATGGCTCAAGTGGTAGAGCGTTAGCCTTGAGCTGAAGAGCTGAGGGTCAGCGCCCAGCCCAGAGTTCAGACCCCACAACCGGACCCCCCTCCCCCAAAAAAAGAAATGTACTTCTAGTCGAGTGCTGGTGGCTCATGCCTGTAATCCTAGATACTTAAGTTCAAAGCCAGCCTGGTCAGGAAAGTTTGTGATACTCTTATCTCCAATTAACCACCAGAAAACTGGAAGGGGCACTGTGGCTCAAAGTGGTAGCCTTGAGCAAAAGAGCTCAGACCCCAAATTCAAACCCCATAAGCTACAAGAAAGAAAAAAGAAAGAAAGGATGGAAGGAAGGAGAGGAAGAGAGAAAGAAAGAGAGAGAAAGAAAGAAAAAGAAATATACTCTTTTGTTTTGTTTTTGTTCCGGTTGTGGGGCCTGAACTCTGGGCCTGGGCACTGTCCCTCAGCTCTTCAGCTCAAGGCTAGCACTCTACCACTTGAGCCACAGCACCACTTCCGGCTTTTTTCATTTTGCTTGTGTGGTGCTGAGGAAGCGAACCCAGGGCCTCAGGCATGCAAGGCAAGTGCTCTACCACTGAGCCACCTTCCCAGCCCCTGGCTTTTTTCTTATGTGGTAATGAGGAATCAAACCCAGGACCTCTGGCATGCAAGGCAAGCGCTCTACCACTGACCCACCTTCCCAGCCCCAAGAAATATACTCTTTACCTGACTATTGTAACTGTAACTGCTCTGTACATCATTTTTACAATAACAATAAAAAAGTAAAGTTTTTTAAAAACAAGAATGAAAAAGAAATGAAACTTGCATTATGAACTGCTAGTACCATGATGATAAACAGCATAAATTGTTTTGTTTTAATATCTAATTTATATAAAGTTCCCTGCTAGCTCTTGCCAAGAATTCAAAAGACGATTACAAATGAATTATTAATATAGCTACCATGCTGGAGGGAGTGGCAAAAAATATGGAGTGTGAAGCAGGAGGATTTTCAGTTCAGGAGGCTAGCCTGGGCTGCCTGGCTAGACCCTGCCTCAAAAGACAGAAAACAAAACCAAAATAACACAGCAGGAAGAGCTTTTGTTTCTAAGAGCTGACCCTCTAGTGGAGAAGGTAAAATGTGTGCAATGCCAGTGTGTGCTGAGTGACAGTATGGCGACCACATAGGAACAGAGAAAGGCTCTACACATCCCTGCAATCTCACATCACCTCTGGTAGGCTCTTGCAGGGTTGAGGCACTTATACAGTTCAGTGATCTGTGATGCTGTACAGCACTGCTGTCCTAAGAACATAGAAGCAGCCAGGTGCTGGTGGCTCACGCCTGTAATCCTAGCTACTCAGGAGGCTGAGATCTGAGGATTGCGGTTCAAAGCCAGCCCGGGCAAGGAAAATCCGTGAGACTCTTTATCTCCAATAAACACTAGAAAACCAGAAGTGGCGCTGTGGCTCAAGCGGTAGAGCGCTTGCCTTGAGCTGAAGAGCTGAGGGATATAGCGCCCAAGCCCAGAGTTCAAGCCCCAGGACCGACCAAAAAAAAAAAAACAAAAAAAACATAGAAGCAAGTTTCTTCTTTGTGCTTCAAGCATGCATGAAATCTCTGCTGTCTAAAACATTCACTTATAAGGCTCAGTTTATTGGCACAATCTTCAGTAATAGCACTGGGAGGCAGGAAGATCACAAGTTGAAGGCCATCTTAGGCTACATTGTGAGACCTTGTTTTAAATAAATATATTGAAAAGATCTTCTAACAATCTGTTGGCTGTCTTTCTAGTTTAGTAACTATGTTCTTTGCTGTGCAGAAACTTTTTAGTTTGATGAAATCCCATTTGTCAAGTTTCTCCAGTCTGTTGTGCCCCTGAGACTCTTCAAAAAGTTTCTGCCAAGCTGGAAATGTGGCTTAGTGGTAGAGTGCTTGCCTAGAATGCATGAAGCCCTGGGTTTGAAGCCTCAGTACCACATACACAGAAAAAGTCAGAAGTGGTGCTGTGGTTCAATTCGTAGAGTACTAGCCTTGATAGCCTTGAGTAGTAGAATGCTAGCTTTGAGCAAAAGGAGCTGAGGGACAGTGCCCAGGCCCTGAGTTCAAGCCCCAGAACTAGAAAAAAAAAAAAGTTTCTGCCTAGGTTTGGTGTTTATTTTACTCCCTTCTACAGTAACTTCAAAGTTTCAGGTATGACGTTGTGGCCTTTGATCAAATTTAAGTTAATATTTGTACATGGTGATAAACAGGGCTCTACTTTTAGTTTTCTGCATACAGATGCCCACTTTCCCCAACACCAATTATTGAAGAGGTTTTTTTCCCCCCACTGTATGTCTTCAGCTCCCTTATCAAACATCAGATGACTGGCTCCCTACATTAAAGCAAAGACACAAAAAATGGTAGCAAAAGAGACATAACGAGCAAAGAGATTCCACTCACCACCAGGGGTTAATCAGGGAAGTGAGCAGCTCAAATCTCACAATTCCTCTGGAGCAAAAGAGTGTGAGATCTACTCCAAATGGATCAAAGACCTCGAGGTAAAAGTAGATACCCTGGGGCTGGGAATTGGCTCAGGTAGAGCGCTTGCCTTGCATGCCTGACACCCTGGGTTCGATTCCTCAGCATCACATAAGAAAAAGCTGGAAGTGGCGCTCTGGCTCAAGTGGTAGAGCGCTCGCCTTGAGCTGAAGAGCTGAGGGACAGCACCCAGGCCCAGAGTTCAGGCCCCACGACCGGACCCCCCCAAAAAACAGTAGATACCCTGAAAATGTTACAGGAATGAATAGGGCAGACATCAGTGCTCGTTGGCACAAGTTGAAACTTTCTTAATAAAGACCCAGAAAGTTTGGATAAATAGGATTGCATTAAACTGCAGAGCTTCTGCATGGCAAAGGACATAGCTAGCAAGATATATAGAAAGCCCACAGAATAGGAGAAGATCTTCACCATCCATACAAAACGCAAGAGCTTCATATCTAAAATACACTTAGAGCTGGGAAGGTGGCTCAGTGGTAGAGTGCTTGCCTTGCATTCATGAGGCCCTGGGTTTGATTCGTCAGCACCACATAAGCAGAAAAAAAGCCAGAAGTGGTGCTGTGGCTCAAGTGGTGGAGCACTAGCCTTGAGCTGAAGAGCGGAGGGACAGCGCCCAGGCCCAGAGTTCAGGCCCCAGGACCAACAAAAATAAATAAATAAAAAATAAAATAATATGCTTCCAAAACAAATCCTCAAAGGAATAGCCACCCAATTAACAAGTAAGCTAAAGATGTAAAGGACTTTTCTGGACAGAAAATAAGAATGGCCAATAGGCACGTGAAATGCTCAACATCTCTGGCCATAAAAGAAATGCAAATCAAAACAACATTGAGATTCTATTTTGCCCCAGTAAGACTGGCCATTATCAAGAAATCTAATAATGGGCTGGGAAGGTGGCTCAGTGGTAGAGTGCTTGCCTTGCATGCCTGAGGCCCTGAGTTCGATTCCTCAGCACCACATAAGCAAAAAGAAAAAAGCCGGAAGTGGCACTGTGGCTTAAGTGGTAGAGCGCTAGCCTTGAGCTGAAGAGCTGAGGGACAGCGCCCAGGCCCAGAGTTCAGGCCCCACGACCGGACCCCCCCCCAAAAAGAACTTTAATAACAACAGATGCAAGTGGGGATATGGCCAAAAGGGAACATTACTACACTGTGGATGGAAGTGTGAACTTATTCAGCCACTCTGGAAAGCAGTATGGAGGTCCCTCAGTGTATTTCTTCAGTACCCATAGTACATCAATCCTCCAAAAAGACCCACCTTAAAGCTTCAGAGAGCACAACCAGAGCAACAAAGGCAGTTCATTTCATCTGGAGAATGGCACAGAGAGGTGTAAAAGAAAATTCCATAGCCGCCAACCAGGCAAAGGTGCCTGCCAGAACTGTGGGGCCACGACACACAAGAAGAAGGACTGCTTTGAGAGACTCAGATGAGTTGGCACCAAATTTACCGGCAGATGAGCACATGGAACCTTGGCTGATGTT